ATGTCTGACCATAAATCCCCTGTCCTGCAGCCTGATAAGGCTGTCCTCGTTCTGACCTCAGGTATCCTGCTTTGCTCAGCATTCCGGGGGCCCTTCTCTGAACTGAGCTTCTTTGCAAAATGACATAATTGTGGCTAAAATGAGTTGGGGTCCTTCAGGATGAGGATGTGGGAAGGGACTCAAGAGTTAGGCATATTCCATGATGCCTTGCTGAGGTCTGTTTTAGCCTTCTACAGTTAGAACAGTGCTTCTGGTAGAGGTGGACAGCAGGAGTATCCTTTTTGAGCTATACATACTTTAATAGGTGAGATCACTTCCCAGTGAAGTCACTGCTGGGAAGAGAGAGAGAGCAACTTCAGATATTTCTTTCTAATAAGGTTTTTTGGGTTTTTTTTTGGGTGGGGGGGCAGTTCTGGGCAATGAGCGTACAGCCTCATGCATGAGAGATAAATGCTCTACCACTGAACTACAGCCCTAGCCCTTCTTCCCCGTATTTGTATACGCATTAATAGACTCCTAAATCCCAGCACTTAGGAGACACAGGCAGGCAGATCTCTGTGAGTTCGAGGCCAACCTGGTTTATAGACTGAGATACAGGACAGCCAAGACTACACATAAAAACCCTGTCTCGAAAAACAAACAAACAAAAAAGACTCCTGAAAAATAAGCAGATGTAATCAAGAAAGCGTCTATTTGATAAACCCAATGAATCCAGCCCCCAAAGAAATAATAGCGTTGCTTACATAACATCTACCACGAGGGGGCAGCAATGATTACAGATTCACCAGGACGGAGGTGCCAAGCCTGGGGAGCTGAGTCTGACCCCCTGGACACACGTGGTAGAAGGAGAAACCAGAGAGTTGTTCTCTGACCTCCACAAGAGCACCCACACACATAGACACAAATAAATAAACGAACATAACAAAACAATGGAAAAACAAGAGGGGGCGGAGGATAGGCATGGTCTTTCAACACAAACCACAGCTCTCGTTTCAAAGAATTTATTCTTGAGCAAAATATAGAATGGTTTCATCAAGTTTTAAGAGCTATGGAACAACTTTTTAAAAAGTCATAAATCAAAACTTTTTTTTTTTTAAGATACATTGTGACCATCAGGGTCACAGATGTTAAGAGTAGGTACCATTTCTGCAGAAGGCCTGGGTTCTGTTTCAGCACGTACATAAGGGTGGCTCACAACTGCCTGCAATTTTCAGTCTCTGGCCTTCACAGGCCCCTGCACTCATGTACACACACACACACACACACACACACACACACACACACACACTGACATGCACACATATTCACATGTACATGATTAAATAAAATAAAAAAATCTTCTAACAAAAATAGAAGGAAGAATAGTGAGATGCCTCAGTGGGTTAAGGGGCTAGCTGGCAGGCCTGACAGCTAGAGTTCCATCCCTGAGCCCCTTCTGACGGCAGAGAACCCACTCCCACAGATTGTCCCTGGACATCTACATGAGTTCGCAAACAAGTACAAAGTGGCTAAAAATAAGAAGAAAAAGAACAGGAACACAGTCCCGAGAGTGGGCACGAGCTAGTGAGCAGCAACAAGATGACCTCCGACGGCGGACACCGATTCTGCAGGCCTCTCCCGTTTGTACGTCCCGGGGGTCTCTGTGGATGCCGTTAGCTAGGTGAGCCCAGGTGAGCACAGTTATAGTCTCTCTCTTTCACACATTGTAAAATTGCATTTATTTGCTTATTTATTTTTCATTTGCTGGGTGGGACAGCGGCGGGGACTCATGCTGGAGCACGGGTGCGGGAGTCAGTGGATAACCTGAGGTGGTCAGTTCTCTTAGGGACTGAACTCAGGTCAGCAGGCTTGATGGCAAGCTCCTTTAAACCCTGCGGCACCCCCCCCCTGCCCGTGTTCTCTCCCTACTCTCTCCTGATGCATGTTCATGCTTGATCTTCAGTCTGGAGGATAGCTTTGAAGGAAAGTCTATTCGTGTTGGCTTTGCATTATTTCTCCCAACAAAACGCCATGTCTCCACACAGAGGCAGGTAGAGCCCTGTGCTAAGGTGGAGCCAGCAAAGGAATCAGATGTAATATGAAGGCAGGCACCCCATTTTGGTCTCTAATAAGACACCTGCAGACCCAAGGCCTTTGGGTCCCTGCAAAGTCACTTAAACACCTGTACTGTGACATGAGACAGGTGTCACCTACTGCAAAGCTGGTGGGCCCTACATTCCCTACTTTTATTTATTGATTTTTTGGAGACAGAACCTCTCTGTCCTGGAACTTGCTCTGTAGACCAGGCTGGCCTGCCACTGCCTCCCAAGAGCTGGGATTACAGGTGTGTGCCACCACTGCCGAACTGTTCCTTACTTTTCTTGATTCTGCGACAGTAACAACTTAAGGCGGCAGGTTTGTTACAGCCCAGAGAGTGAGGAGGCCCACGGTGGCCGCTTGGGAAGTGAACTAGAAGCAAAACCGCCGCATTCGGTATGGAAAGAGACTCAGCTCCTTAAGGCTCTTTAGAATGAGGACTCGGCCGTGGTGGGGCCCGAGGTGGGAGGGAGAGCATCAGTCAGGAGGGAGAGCATCAGGCAGGAGGGAGAGCATCAGGCAGGAACCACAGCTTCACTAATAATTAAAGAGACAGAGACTCAGAGAAACAGACATGGAAGAAGTGGGGGGATTGAAGAGAGGCTAAACCATGGAGT